AGAGTGTGTTCTTCAGTTTCCATGTGTTTGTGGGATTTTTGCAGTATCTTTTATCATTAATTTCTGGTTTCATGGCACTGTGATCCAATAACATGCAAGGGTTAACTTCTCTTTTGCATTTATTTAAATATGTTCTTTGAGCTAATATATGGTCTATTTTAGAGAATGTCACATTACTGCTGAGAAGAATGTGTATTCTGATGTTGTTGGGTGGAACACTCTGTATATGTCTATCAAGTTTATTTGTTCACAGGTGTGATTCAGTTCTGTTATTTCTTTGCTGATTTTCTGTCTGGTTGATCTGTCCCTTTGTGTCAATGGTGTGTTAAGGTCTCTTGTTATAATTGTGTTACTGTTAATTTGGTTTTTCATTTCTGTTAATACTTGCTTTATATAACTGGGTGCTGTGGAATTTGGTGCATACATATTTAAGACTGTTATCTCTTCCTCTTGAAATTTTCCCCTTGCCAGTATATAATGACCTTCTTTATCTCTTCTGATCATTCTTGGTTAGAAGTTCACATTGTCTGCAAACAGAATTGCTACCCCACTTTTTTGGGGGTTCTTGTTGCATGAAGTACTGTTTTCCATTGTTTGACTTTCAGTCTGTGAGTATTGTTTTGGGTTATATGGGTTTCTTGTAAGCAGCATATGGTTGTATGTTGTTTCTTGATCCATTCTGTCAGTCTGTTTCTTTTAATTGGTGCATTGAGACTATTTACATTAATGGTTATAACTGTTGTATATTGGTTTATTGTTGACATGTTATCTTTCTGCTGTTGCATCTTTGTTTCTGTTCTGCTTAATTGTCTGCTTTGCTTAATGGTTTTTTCCTAAGTGTATCTAAACTGTCTTTCAGTATTCTTTGCAGGGTTGGCCTGGTGATCATGAAGTTCTTCAGCTGTTCTTTGTCATGGAATTATCTTTTTTCTCCATCAGTTTTGAAGGACTGTTTTGCAAGGTACATCAGTCTAGGATGGAAATCATTTTCCTTTAGGATCTGGAATACTTCACTCCATGCTCTTCTTGACTTTATTGTTTGTGCTGAGAAGTCTGCTGTGATTCTGATAGGTTTTCCTTTATAGGTGGTCTATCTTTTCTCTGACAGCTTTTAATATTCTATTCTAATGTTGAGTTTCTGGGATGGTGATTATTATACATCTGGGTGTAGTTTTAATTTGGTTATGGCTATTTGGAGTTCTATATGCTTCACTGATCCTGATGTCAGTTTTCATTCTCATGTTTGGGAAATTTTCAGCTATTTTTCTCTTAATATCCTCTTGACATCTTTTATGTTTTCTCCTTTCTTTTTCATTTATCCTTATCAATCTTATGGTGTTTTTCTTTGCATCATCTTGCAGCTGTTGAATTATTTCCTGATTCCTTGTTATTTTTAAAAGATCTTGTCTTTCCTGTTCACTAGTCGCAATCTTGTCTTCAAGATCTGAAATTCTATCTTCACTTTCATGGAGGTAGTTTTTACAACTTTCAATGGAAAGTTTGATTTCCTGTGTATCTCTTTGCATCTGCTTCATGTATTGTTTGTTTCTTACATTGTTCATCCAGGAATTCTTTTTGTTTAGTTCCTCCAATTTTTAAATTGTGTCTTCTTTAGATATGTTCAGCATTTCTTTCATTTCTTTTATCATTTCTTCTTTTACCTGGGAGATTATTTCTAGTTTGAATTCCTTTAAAGTTTCCTGGAGTTGCTTCTTTATTTCATTTGCTATTATTCCGGTGTATGGCATATGTTTTCTTCTATGTACATAGCTCCTAAGGTTTTTGGGATGGGCTGGAGGCTTGAGATTGTAATTTGGTCTTTCATTTTGTCATTCTCCTATATTTCTGTGTTTCAAGTGTTATTCCAAGACTTCCCCTGGGCCTGTTGGAAATCCTCTTCTATGCTCTCAGCTTCTGGGATTCTGGCCGCCCAGTTCCCTGAGTTGAGAGAGGGTCACTGGTGGTGGGGCAGGCAGGCCCAATCCTTGCTGAGCTGGTCCAGCGTGGCAGGAAGCCACAAAGTTCCCTGGTTGGTGGAGCAATGATCTTAAACTCCCTCCCAGGGCTTGGAATGGTGCGGGGACACTCACCCCAGGCCACCCAGTCTCCAGATTTGAGGGCACAGGCAGGCAGCTCCAAATCCCCGGAGCTTGCGGAGCATGGCCAATCTTATTCTTAAAATGACTTACGGCTGTGAGGATTGAATGAGAGAATTTCTGTGTGGTGGTCAATATGCAGCCCTGCTGTGATTCGGGTGCTGGCTGCTCTTCTCCTGGGCAGGTGTCCACTGTCACCTCTCTCATGGGGTTTCTTTGCCTCCCTCTCCCTTCACAGGCACCTCTGCTCTGTTGTTTCCTAACACTTGTACTTTGCCTACTGCTTGTTGCTTTTCAAGCTTTGCAGCCTGGCTGTGGCCTGGCACTCATAAAGGCTTCTGCCGTACAGGCAGAGCATATAGCAATGGGGAAGCCAGACCCAGCTGCTCTGCCTGCTGTTCTGACCAAAGGCTGCTGCCCTTCTGCCATGGTCTGCACTGGCTCTACCTTGCTTCCAGACTCTGCTGGGGCCCCTAATCCAGTTCAGGCTTCACGAACACTTGGAGACAAGTGTTAGTGTGCCCCATGTTGACACCTAGCCAACTTCTGCCTATAGAGTGACATATGTCTCATGGAAATCTTATTCTCTCTCCTTTCCACGCATGCAGCTTGTTTTGGAGGCTGCATGCACTTGCCCCTCGCATTCAGCAGGTGAAGGGAGATGTCATAGTATTCTATCCCTTGAATTCATTTCAAAAACTGCCCATCTTCATTGAATCTGTAATCTTCTCTTAAGAAGTTGCTGTGTGCATTTTGTGGAGCTTACATCTTATTAGACAAGATGCACACTCAAGGAATAGTTTATAAATGCCCTGTGGATTGCAGTTACTGTGTGACAATATGGATTTCCATTTCTCTCTCCTCTTCCCCCCACCACTTACCCTTCTTGAAGTTTAGCTTATATTGAAATCAGGAAAACAGGGCTTTGAGAAATTTGACTTGAGCAGGAGATAGATATTCTTTAACATAGTATGTGCAAGAAATGAATTTAAAGGCAGTAATCTTGGTATGAGGCAACAGCGACTTTATGCTGAGAATCTAAGAGACTGCTCACAAGCAAAGTGTCATGCCATGTATCTGTAATCCCAGCACTTGGGAGACTGAGGCAAAAAGATCACTTTGAGTCCAAGAGTTTGAAGTCTCAGACCAGCCTGTCTTGATAATTTGTCACATGTGTGCACGTGTGCACGCGAACACACACACACACACACACACACACACACACACACACACACATGATTGACCTTTTTTCTATTCTTTTTTTCCCCTTCAGGGAAAGTCATAAAGTCTATGAGACGAATGAGATAAAAAAGAGCCTTTGGCAGAGATATTTTTTTATTTCTATCTGGATGAGCTCTGCTAGTATGTATATTTGCCATGTGGGGAATGATATACGTGCTTTGGTGGGGCTGCATGTAGGACAAGCTTCCAGATGCCCTCAGAGACTCTAGCCTCCTGCTCTTCATTGTCCGTAAGTAGTTATCTCCAACACTGGAATAGACTGGCCCGAGAAACTCATTGGGTATTGTGGAAACCCCAGACCAACTACCCACAGAGATCCTCCTTAACTCCTGATGCAAAGAAATTTCCAGTCATGGTGTTGGGGTAATTACTTGTGTGTTGATAAACAACAAATGGGTGGATATATGAATTAAATAGTGAGAATCTGCTCCAAGTTTTCACTGCCCTGTGGACCCTAACCTGGGCTGTTTATACTTCTAAATCTGTGTGTCTGCTTGACTGGTTCATAACAAGATTTTAGGACTTTGGACTGTACTGCTTCATCCTCCCAAAACAGAGGGCGTGGTGTGCAGGTCATAACTGAAGTTGTTGAGTTATACTCTTGCTATCGACATGCAAGGGAAAATACAGATACCAGAGACTGAAAATGTGACTAAAATTAGACTGTATGCATTGCCATAAGAATCACTAGTTTTACATTTCCTGCTGGAAACAGTTGGGCTCTTAGTTCTTCAGTATGACTGACCTTATATTTATTTTTATTTTTGTCTAAAAAACCTTAAATCCATTTCTGCTGGTTTTGTTTTCACATGTTTGCCTCATTTCCTTTTGCAGACGAATTCCTTGCTCGCTGTCTTTTCATTACAGAATGTTCTAACACCTCGTCTTTGCATTCTACATTACAGCTTCATTTCAAAACCCAAGTCCTGAAAATTGGGTTTGCTTAGCAAATTAACAAGGACACACCCCAGCGGGTACCTTGTCTCATTTCCTATTGTTTTATGGAATGCTTCGGCAGCTGCAGAAAGAGTCATCTATGAGTCTAATAATTGAAACACCCTTATGAGTTCCCCTTTAGGTGGAGAAAAGCCTATTCAAATTAATTCAGTTTTGAAAACTCACTGTAATTCAGCAAGGCAGTTTCAAGCAGCATACCACTATCTCTTTGGGTCAGAGGTGGTTATTTACATATTTAATATTCTGAATCCCTATGGAGACTTTTAACATCGTCTAAGAATTAGCAGAAGGCAAACATGTGAATCAGATATACCTACCTGTTGTTTTTATTTGGCGATTTCCTTCTTTAACTTCATCATCAAATTCAAAAACTCTCTAGTTCACAGATAGTTAAGGAAAGTCAGCTTCTGGCGCCCTCTTGCGGATAAACGCTTCTAGTGTTAGTCTTCCTGGCAGTTTACTTCTTGAAGGAAATCTGAAAGGAATTTTCTTATTTGTTTACAGAAACTGATTCACATTTCTGAAACAGTGTGAATCACAGCTTGCTCAATCGTAAGTGGCGCTGAGAAATTTCTAGTAAGGCTGACATGGGACATTTGATGAAACTCCTGACAAGGGAAATTAAGATACCATCAATATTTTGATTTGTTAAATGGGATCATTCTCAACTGAATAACAAGTCTACCTGTCCCCTTTTTTTCTCAGTTTAGGACTTGCCTCTTGCTCAGGATATTTTTCCAGACTCAGGACTCCCATGGTCACTGGATGGTGAAAGTCGACCTCTGCAGGATGGGTCCTCGGAAGCAGTCCAGTACTTTATCCTAGGATCCATTCCTTCCCTGGCACTTGCCACAGCAGTGATCTGCATTGGCCCATCTTCCTCAGCTCATTCTCTACAGACTCATTAATTTTTCATTTTGAGGACAAGAAAAATTAATTGAACAATCATGGAGCATTTCCGATGAGCTGGATCTGAAGTCCAGTCGTGGGATTAGCAGAGTGCTAATGTGCTAATTAGGCTAAATGAGTCCACGCAGAACCTGTGCCCAGACCACACAACTAGGTAAGAAATCAGGCTCTGAGTATGTGTCTTGTGGATTTCTGTGCTGATTTTGCTTATACTTACTTCAGAGGCTCCAGATACCTTCAAGTATGCTCATCTTAAGTATTTCTGCAAATATCCATGAATCCCCATCATAAGTAGTCAAACCGAGCGGTCTCACACGTCACACAAATTCTTTCCTTCCTTTGGCCAGACTGGAGATGCTGGCTGCCTCGTGCTGCCTGTTGTGGATATGGAGGATGCTGCGCTGTGCAGCCATGAGGATGCTGCCCCTGCCTTGTTGGAAGTCACAGGGACTAAAAATAGCTTGGGCACTGCTGATGTACTAGAGTTCCAGTGCCCACTGTGCCCTGTGCTTTCTAAGATCTGCACTGATTTTATTGCCGAGGGAGGAAAATTCCTTTGTTTTGGAGACATTCAGAGATTCCAAAGCAGTGACGTGGGTGCTTGGTATCTCTTCATCTTTGAGATACTCTCTTTGAATTTCTTTTTTATGTCTGAGACATCTTGGAAGCAGGTAATAGAAACTTGGTTTCTCAGTAGATGGTTACAGTGAAGTAGTCATGAGGACAGGATTGCCTACACTTTCTTGCTGAATGACCTTGGACAAGTGAAACCAACTTGGTTAGCCTCAATTTCCTGATGAATGGCATGAGAAATAATGCTGGCAATATTGCCCTCATAGATTGCAAGACTTCATTGAGGACAATACTGGACAGGTAGTACAAATGTGGTAACCTTATGATCTTAGGAATGCAAGGTAGTATCTTTTTACTGAATGAAAGTAAATTTCCACAACTGCAAGTGTGTTTAGATGTGTTAAGATAGATGACCATATTACTGCATTTCTGTTGGATCATTGAACACAACTGTTTGCAGTCTCACTGTTTGAATGTCCACTTTTTATGCTTTAATCCTGTAACCTGAAAAACTATTTCTAAGATGACAATATGTAATCTATTAACTAGTGATTTCTTATCATTTTTTTTGAAATTCTGTATTACTTGTACCCTTATACTGTTTTGTTTTTTTTCTTTAAATAAAAAAAGTAAATTTCCATATGTCTGTTGTTCCTCAATAAAGCAGTCAATAATGGTAAGAGAAGAAAAATCAAAATGAAAGTTGCCTTCCTCAAAGAAATTGCTGATTTTGAATCTTGAAAAATTCAAGAGTTTTGTGGAAGGGAAGTAAAATTCTGGGAAAAATTGAAGGTCTGTGCTTTCTTCACACTGTGGAAGGAGTGTCTGGGATGAAATCAGTGGGGTCATATAGTGACTTTTTCAGTAAATTTGAAATATTTCTCTCATAGTTCAATATAGTGGCCACATGTGGCTGTTAAGCTCTTGGAATGTGGAAAATCTGAATTGAGATGTGATGTCACTATAACACACATACCAGATTTTAAAAACTTTGTACCACATATGTGTATGTTATGTAAAATAATGTATTAGTTTGCTTTCTGTTGCTGTGACAAATTCCTGAGATAAATTAAAGAGAAGATCGGTTTATTTTGGCTTATGTCCCACAGGTTTCAGTCCAAGGATAATCTCTCTATTATTTTGGGGCCTGTGGCGAGACAGAACATCATAGTGGGGAGCATGTACTGAAGCAAAGCTGCTCATATTGTGACAGTCAAGAAGTAGAGAAAGAGGTGAGGTGAGGTGAGGAACCAGGGTCCCCCTTAAGGACAATAAACCCAACGATCTAATGTCTTTCCATTTGGCCTGATCTAAAGAACCCAGCACCTACCCATAGTGGCAGAGGCTGGGGACTAAGCCTGTTTAAACTTGGGACTTTGTTGGACATTTCAGGTACTAGTGAAGGCTAGAGATGTAACTCAGTAGTAGAGGGCTTGCCTAACATGGGTGAGGCCTTGGATTCAATCCCCAACTTTGTCAAGAGCAAAATGAAACAATACGAAACAAAACAAGACAAAAAACCCGTACAACTAAACATATTTTATTTATTTATTGGTCCCAGGAATTGCATTCATGACCTTGTATTTGCCAGGCATGCTCTTACAGTGCTGAGCCAAATCTCTGGTTCCTAACTAAACATTTTTTTTTGTCTTTTTAAGATGGGGTCTTGCTATGCAGTTCAGGCTGGCCTTGAGCTCAGTTTGTAGCTCAGGCTGTTCTTGAACTCACAACAATCCTCCCACCTCAGCCTGCCGAGTGCTGGGATTACAGGCGTGAGCCACCACGCCTGGCTAACTAAACGTATTTTAAAGAAATATACAAGTTAATTGTACTTGTTTCTTCACACTTTTTCAAATGTAGTTGTTTAAAAATTTAAAATTATGTGTAGCTTGAATTACATTTCCGTTAGTGCTGGGATTCAAATACATTTGAACTTCCCTTTGGTGATCCAAAGTACACAGAAAGGGCATCCCTTCTGGAAGGAAGGATATGGAGGTAGGGTGCCTTTTCAATGTCAGACAATTTCCTTCACAATTGTAGAATTTTTGCAAAAGTATGAACTCCGGGGTTAGATTTTATGACTTCAAATCCACATACCATCACTGAATATCCTGTGAACTTGGATAACTGAATGTTTGAGTATCAGTTTTGTTTTGTTTACTTAAAATGTAAAAGTGATATTATTATGTAGGCCCATAACATAGATGTACAGAAATGCAGATGTATCTTTCTGTAGTTGAAATTAATTTCTATTGTGAATGCTTAATCTAATTATTAATGGAAACAATCTTTGGTAGTTCAGACTCATTTACCCCATGTCTTCATTTTACTTTTCTCTTATTGTTGAGACAAAATGCCCATTGTCCAAAACCAAGAAATAAAAGGTATATTTAGCCCACAGCTTGTGGAGGTTTCAGTCCATAATCAACTGGCTCCAAGGCAGGGTGGTGTGGTAAAGGAGCAATAGTGCACAGTAGTGGAAGACGGCAAAAGCAACAAGAGCAAACTTGGGTGGAGACAAGCCTCTTTTTTTCTCCCTTATATTGTTTACAGGCTACCACCCTGGGACAGAAGTAGCATTCATACCCATAATCCCAGAAATAGGCCATAAACCACTGATGAACTCTAGATTCACCTGCCTCAGAAAAGCGTGCCCCTCATGACCACATGAAGTTTTGGGGGACATTCAGACACAAACCATAACATTCCTCTGCTAATCCCCCAAAGACTCATGCACATATGTTTATGCAAAAGACATTTAGTACATCTATAAGAGTTGCCAAAGTCTTAACAGTTTTAGCATTGCTCAAAAGTCCAAGTTCCCAGTCTTTTCTGAGATGTAAAGCAAACTCTTAGCTGTGAGCTCCTATACAAATGAAAGTTAAACATTTCAATGTGCAATGGCGTAAGATATATATTTCCATTCCCAAAGAGGAATACAAAGGATTGGAATCAAAGCAAGTCCAACCTCTAGCAGGGCAACCATGAAGTCCTGTAGTTCCATGTGCTGCATCTGAGGCAATCTGTGGCAAATTGTGAGCTTCAAAGGGCTTAAGTGCTCCACCTCTTATGGCCCTTCTGGTGGTTATAGTTCCCATGGCTTTTGTCTTCGGGCTGGCTTTGCTCCCTCTTTGCAATTTTCTTAGATGATCAGTGTTTCTGGCTTCTTCAAACTTCTGAGGTCTCCACTGCACCTTTGGCTTCACCATAACATCTTTACACACTGCCCACTAAGGGGCATACTACCTGACCTTCCAGGCCTTCTGAAATTGGGGTGGAAGCTTCTTAACCCCATAACTGTTGCATTCTTCATGTGCCTAAAACCAGCATCTTGTGGGTACTGCCAACGTCTGATATCAGCTCCTGCAATAGCTTTCTTCTCTCTTGGCTGTAGGTGTTGAGAGCTTGAATCCTTGAGCACTGTGAATTCAATTCTGAGGGACAAACTCTCTATTCTGCCTCCATTCTGAAATGTAGTGCTCTGTGACTTTCTTCTCAAAACAAAGTCTTTCACTTTTGCAGTGTGGAGGTCTGTTGTTTCCTGTGATCCATTAGCTCTTTTTTTTCTGTTGTCTTTTTCACTGTCAGCAATCAATATCTACTCTGCTCTATCTTTGCAGTCCATAGCTTTACTAGAGCTTCCATTCTGGCCAAACTCACAACATTTTAAATCATTCTGCTGGGCTCTCTGCTCTTGATTCTCAACATAAATCTGGTTAAAAGCCTTCAATGGTAACCTTGCCACTCTGCCAACTGTAGATTGCATTGAAATATTTCTGCCACCCAGGCAATATCTCTAGCACAAGCAAAGTGCAGAACCTATAGCATCTTGGATCCAGCAGCCAGTGCAGTACTTCTCCAAATAAGCCTTCTTGAGATTCATCTTAACCAGGAGCATTTCCATCAGTACTCTGGTTTTCCAGGCTCTGACCAGAGTCTGCAATACAGTTTATAGCATACAGGGGCTGCCTCCTTGGCCACTGTCTCAAAACCTTTCCAAATTAATTCCCAAGGCTCTTGTGCCATGTTACCAGGTAACATCATAGCAATGGCCCCACTCTCGTGCTAATCTTGTTACCGTTGGGGTTTGCAAGGGAAACAATTTAGTTCAAGCCACACAATTTATAGGTTTATTTTATAATATTCACCCAAAGAGTCAATTACAAGGGAATGAATGCAGAAGATCTTTCTACACACTAGAGACCTAAAGATGACAGCTAAGGGCCTGGATTCCATTGCAATGTCCTGTATGAATCCAGCTGGAGGCTTAGAGTCCAAGACAATATCTCATGCAGGTCTGTTTTTGGCATCAGGGAGGGTCCAAAGGTCATGGGTGGAAGCTAGAAAGTGTGTGCCAGGGGAGTGAATGATCTGTGCCAGCAGGATTGAGAGATCTGCACTAGAGCTAGGAGGCGATGCTCAAGGTAAGAAGCAAAGCTCCTCCAAAAAGAACAGCAGTCATCCTCAGTGAAGACCAGAGCTCCTCCAATAATGAGAATAGCTGGGTTCGTATCTGGAAAACCAGTGTGACAAGCTTCTCCAGGAGAATCAACAGTGCAGCTTCTTTGCCTCCAGTTCGGCTTTTAAGCTGTTGGCAGCAATCCACAAGAGGGCCTGCCATGCCCAGCACCATGCTCATTGGGTTCACTGGGGCATTACAAGTTTACCATTAGTTGTTAATCTATCATATCCCCATACACAAAAGTTCCTTTTTCCTTGCAGGTGACTCGGGGAGCATAGGATGCTGGCTATCATCAATGGTCTGGGCTGGCATCAGTGGAAACACTGGGAATGTCACCAGGGGCATACCTTTCCATCACACCAAGCAGCCAGAGCTTCATTGCTTTCCTCAGTGGGGTTCAGTCAGCCATGACTGAGTCTGAAAGGTGTGCTCTTCTGACCACTCTCAGTCAGCTGGACCCAGACACGCTTCCTGATGACTCAGTTTGGTGATTTGGTTTCAACTCTGTTTTTTGTCGCACAACTCCTTTTTCATGGGAAGGACCTCAGAAGGATTGGGTTTTCAGGACTGTGTCCAGACAGGGCTTCCTCATACTATTTATCACGCCACTTCTGGTCTTGTCTGTGATGGGTGCTTCCTGACTGAATGTAGGTGGAGACATTTGTCTACCCTGCCTGTGCCATGAAAAATAGTACAGGCAAAATTGTTTTTGTGCTCCGAGTTTGGAGTTGGTCTCACATTTGTTCTCCTTCCTCCTGGATAAAGATTGTTTTATCTTGTCCTTTTTTAGAAATGAAGTTTGCACTGCATTTCATGGGACCTGTCAGTTCAGCAAATGAATAGAGTGTAACATGTTTTTGTGTCATAATTTAAGTAAATGTGGCAACCGTGCTTTCTCATTTTAGCTGGGTATTTAACTTTATGTGTCAATTTAGTTTGACCACAGCATTCAGATATTTTGTTACTCACTGGCCTTAATGTTTTTTCTTTTCATTTTTTTAGACAGGGTCTCACTGTGTAGTGCAGGCTGGCTTTGAACTTGCTTATGGAGCCCAGGCTGGCTCCATAACTCCAAACTCAACAACAATCTTCCTGCAACCCCAAATGCTGGGATTATAGGCATGTGCCATGCCTGGTTCTGGTCTTATATTGCTGTGAAGATATTCAGATAAGA